GCTGCCCGAGTTTTCCTATAAATCCAAAATGACCGATGATTGTTACGTTCTTTCAAATTTCTCCGACGTAATATTGACGGAAAACATTTGATGCGTTTTCAGAGTGAAACTTTCCTTTTCAGTAATCATTCAGTACCAAGAGAAAATAATCGGAAAAAACAGAACTTGGTTCTGCTTTATGCGACGCCTGGCGTTTTCTTATAAGATCTCACAGTAGCCCAAATTCCGGGCCAAACTTTGAGTAACTGCCAAAATTTTGTCTAAAATCCTTTCCCCAAGCGGCCACATTATTTAAGAAATGGTTATACCCTCCAAGCCTTGACAAAATTTGCATGCGAGTAACATCCGTGATTGTACTGATGTAAGTTGTATGTTAATGCTGGTTTCAAAGTCTAAATAATCGAATGGAAGACAAAATGTTCCTGTAAGGAACAAATTTCGTAACGCAAAAGCTTTTATCGGTCCTCTTGTGTTCGCGGGCTATAAATCATATATATAAACATGGACGTGTATCATTTAGATTCTTCGTCTAATAAACCTCGCCGGCCTGAAGATTTCGAGCTCGAACAAGTATCAGTGTTTCACGAACAGCTCTAACCGTTCGAGCGGATGTATTGTTTTTCAAAAACGAGTGCACAAGAAGTACAAAAGGTGGTGGGCAATTTCTACACCATTCTGCTATTGTCACATCCTATGCGACACATGGGGCCAAGGAACAATTAATAACCGTACTGCTTTTAATTTACACAGGAAGAGAAAGACTACATTTGCCCATTACTTCAGTTTAAATAAAGATTAACTATAAGTTTCTTTTGGCGTTAATTCTCGGCTCCATTTAGTCTATTAACGCAGGATAAATTTTTTTTCCTTTGGAGGCCGGTACCTAGACAATAACCTAACTTGTAGCATTTTAAAGTTCACTAATATTTGGACATAATTCCGGTATTTCGCTTCATTAGACTGTTTCCCTGAACTGAATCGAGTTTTATCCTTACAGTTCTACCTTTCTGAAACACGCAATGCAAATCCAGGTAAATTACGCCGCCGAGGCGGGCCTCAGTAATTAGAAAAAATGGCTTTTCCTATAATTAGCCGGCAGCCCACTCAGCCTAATTTATCTACTACATCAAGTGTCGAGAAATTATGTCAGAGTCACGCAAAAGACATTACTGAAGTCTTGTAAAATCCGGGTTCGAATATGCGATTCCTTCACCGGTCAGTTACGAACTTCTTTGGTAGAAAATGAGAGAAAAAAAGTGGTGACTAGAGAGAAGCTCAAGAGGTCGTGAGAAAGACTATCAGCAAATATTTGCATGCCGAAAATGTAGAGTTGTACGAAAAATGGTGATTTATTCCAGTTTAAGGGTTTTAAGTGTCCTTTGGGTTATTTTAATCCACTTTTCCAAAAGAAATTCCTAAAAATTGACAGCTCTGCGATTGTTAAATAAATGACCTTTTATGGGCGAATTGTCCTTTTTATTTTTTCGAAAATAGTAACAAAGCCAACAGATGTTCGGTGAAATGACTTAATAATTGGTATATTCCAGCTGCAATTAACTTGTGCACAATGATAATGCTTTTTCCTAATTAATAGACGGCATTCCTAATTAGTTGATATTGATCTCACCATGTTTGGTAAACTTTTCAAATTGAAAACAGCTGAAACTGCACATGAAATGTACTTTTATGTCACCAAAAATAATTATAATATACATCGAGAACCTTAAAAAGGAGATGTAAAAGCACAGTAGAGCAGTGACTCACCCCGACTCAGCCATGGACTGTACACACCCATGTGTCATATTTCTAATCGCTGTAACATTGGTTCTTTCTGGATCTGTTGTGCCAAGTGATGCTTCTTTTCGCAAAATTCCTGAAGGGAGAAGAGAGGCGAAACAGAAAATCTCTGGTAATGTCAGAGCGGCTTCTCCGCCGCGGTACAACAAACCCCCAGAAGGAAGAAGGAGGCATAGGGTTGAGGTAAAGACTTTGAAACAAGTTTATTTTATTCATTCCTTTTGGTTGAAATATGCCCTTATTTTAGCATGCTTCGGGCAAGTAATTAAGGTACAAAGTAGTTTACGATGTGAAGTTTATATGAAATAGTTCATATATGAACTGCGGTTGNCTGAGTAATATATTTGCTATTCGTGAATTTTCTGTAGGAAACATTTGACGCTCGATCATCCCGGCTGAATAATCCTTGGCAATAATCAGAGCTAGAGCTCGAGGATGGCGAGAGGGACCTCAGAGAAGCACACGAACAAGCATTAGTCCTACTCTGAGTAACAGTGTGAGGATACAAAATAGTCATTAACAACCTTTCATCAAAATCAAATTAAACTAATTGAGAATAAAACATCTGCCAATTATCTTCATTGAACTCATAATATATCCGCATTAATTTTAATTATTTGTCTGCGGACGTCATCTGTTCCGAGAAGCGAACAGTTTTCCGAGGGCGAAGCTCAAGGAAAACTGTGAGCTTTGAGAAACAGATAACGTCCAAGGACAAATATCCGAGCATATTTTCGCACAAAATGGGGGCTATTGTGTTTATTATTCTTCAAATATTTTTCGCAACACGCGCGGTTTTAAAAACTGGGGAATATCACTCGGATATTCCCCCGGTTTTGGTAATATTCAGTCACGTGACGCGTTTAGACCAATCGCCTGCGAGTGAAAAATTTGATGAATTTTAAGAGATGATTATAGCCAACTCGGCGTAGCTATCTCACTCACTCACTCATGCCCCTTACGCCTAGGTGGCATGTAGGGCAGCAACGTACTCCCTCCACATCTGCCGGTCCCTTGCCATAAGCTTGATGCCTCCCCAGGTCTTCCCCATCTCTTTGATTTCTTTCTCCACTGTCCGTCGCCACGTGATCTTGGGGCGACCCCTATTGCGTTTCCCTTCTGGCGTCCAATGTAAAGCAGTTTTCGCAAAGGAAGCTTCTTGACGGGTGGCATGGCCAATCCACCTCCAGCGTCTCCTCATCAGGATGGTAGCCATTGGCTCAGTTCTACATCGTTCAAAGAGATCTTTATTTGAGATCATATTAGGCCAGAAGATGCGTAGGATACGCCGAAG